AGACATGACTCCTCTGGGATTTCTTTACCTTTTGCAAATTCAGAGCTCATTTTGTGGGTGGTTTGTGGCTTATATGTATGCATGTGTGGGCACATGTGGGGAGCAGTCTTAAGATATTCTAAATGGTGGAACATTTTGTAAGGAAGCGTCCTCTATTCCATCGTAATTAAACAGAACAAATAAACAAAAAAAGACCCAAAGAATATGAAAATATTGATTGAAAAAGATATATGCAACCCTCTATACACCACAGCATTGTTCCCAGCAGCCAAGACATGAAAACAACCTAAGGGTGCACTGACAGGTAAATAAACACAGAAAATGTGGTATATATAGAGAATGGACTATTATTTAACTAGAAAAAGAGCTGAAATCTCATCTTTTGCAACACCACGGATAGAACTTGACATATTACGCTTGGTGAAATAAGTCAGAAGGTGAAAGATAAATAAGGGATCATTTTATGAATATGTACAATATAAAGAAGCAAAGAAAGTAAGTAAAACAAAAACAAACCTTAGTTTCTGTCAACGAGATGGTGGTTACCAGAGGGGAAGTGACAGGGGTAGGAGGAATGAGTAGGGAAGTTATTTGGATAGTGGTGAACAATGGTAGAACTTTGGTTGGGGCAATGGTGTGGGATATACACATATTGAGGTGTGAAGCTGTATTCTAAAAGTTATATATAGTATTATGAACCAATGGTACATCCATCAACAAAAGGAAAGAAAAGCAAATGCAGAAAATAAGAATAGTCAACAAAATAGCAGCAAAAACTAGGTTGCTTTCTTGCAATTAGGAACATACTTGGATTGTCTGTTGATTTAACAGGAAATCTTATAACAGGAATCTTGTACACACAGAAATGTGTGTTAAACACACAGGAAATGTGTGTTACAAGATTCATTCAATATTTTAATACCAAAAGGAATGAATACAAAAGAACATGGATGGGTAAAATTGAAGTGAAAGAGACATACGATTTTTGTTAGCTACAGAACAGTGTCTGGTACAAAGAATGCATTAAGATACATGTGAATTGACCCCCCAAAAATCTTGATGATCCATAATAAACCACGAAATGCAATGTTGGTTGCAGATGAACAGCAAAAAATATATGTGTGTGTACACGTCCGCTGAAAAATTGTGATCTTATGTGGCATATATACACAATGGAATATTACTCAGCGATCACAAAAGATAAACTCATGCCGTTTGCAGCAGCATGGATGGAGCTGGAAGGGATCATGCTCAGCAAAATATCAGAAGGAAAAAGAAAAATATTGGATGGTTTCACTTACAGGAGGAATGTAGGGAAACCAAACAATGGGTCAGAAAAAAAGAAAAGACAAAACTAGCGGGCAAATTATAGATCCGAGACATACAGCAGGAGAGGGGGGCAAAACAGGGGAGGGAAGGGTACAAGCGACTATGTTCAGTTAAAAAACTTGGGGGATGTGGTGATGGGAGATTGTGGTGACTACACCTGAGGGGAGAAATCAGATATTGTGCAAAAATAACAATGATGTAAGAAAAAAATTGTGATGGTCAAAACCAAAATTAGTATTCTAGGGAAAGAACTGGAGTCCAGGGCCAAGTCCATGAGGGCAATGAGATTTCTCTCCATCCCCAGCTCTTTCCCCCACTCACCATCAGTCCTTGGCTTGCTAGGTCTCCTAAGAGAGTCTCCAATGAGTTGAAGAGCGAAGGTGAGGAGCATTATCTCAGACATGAAACACACAGTTTCTCAGAATATTTAAAAAAAAAGTAATTTCTACATTCACAGAGATTTTCAAACCAGGTCAGGGTGAACATTTAGTTCCTGCTACTACCAAATACACCTTATTCAGATGTGACAATTGAGGCCCCCAGGTAACAGTCACACAGTACATTAATGGAGTAAAAATGCTAGTTTCAACTCTACCTAAAGAACTTTTCTCCACTCTTGGACACTACCTGTACTCAGAAGGGGTAAGAGAAGAGCCGGTACATTTTACTGGAAGATGACTTCTAGCACCAAGGGCTGTGTGAGGACTGAGGGGTGTGGGGATATAGAGTGAAGGTTGAGGGAGAGGGCATTTGGAATTTGTACCTGGACACGTAACCTTGCTATTTTGCCTAATAATGGCTTCAGTGCCAAGCAACATTTAATGCCATTAATTTACCATCCTAGAGTAGCTTGCTCTTCTACTGGCAGAGTTAATCTGCAGGTCAACCATATCTCCAGTGAAATACTAGATCTCTTCTATTCAAATGCGGAATTGTACCCCGACAGCACCCTAATGATAGGGGTTATCACTTGCACATGAGGAACATAGACGTGGGGCTTTTACACAGTTATCTGGGAGGTCAGAGATGGCTCCCGGCTCCCTGTTGTGGAGTCACATCCATCACAACTCGCATCAAGTCAATGCATATTCAAGGAAACCATGCTAAGCAGAACAAGAAGTAAATATTCCCTACCACCTAAAATTGACTTCAAGGGGCCGAAAGTAGTATTCACCACTTCATTTGGAAGTGAATCTATCCCTTTGAAAATACTATTACTGAGCCCGAATTTTCCACCATGATTGTTGAGGTTTCAGCTGGCCTTCAAATATATCTAAGTCAAGTGAATGAAATCTCTTCAGATGGGATCCCAAACTATAGCTTTTTTCCCCTCTAATAATTATAAACGATCAGACTTTCTTTTTGTTGTGAATTATATTGTTTTTGTGTATAATATCCGGACATTCAATGTTGTTGGATTTTATTGGATATCCAGGAAGAGTATAATAAAACAAAAATGATACTATGAAACAAGACCAAATAGGTGTCAGAACAAAGCAATCCTATTTCTCATTTAATTGTAATAAAACTAACCAAGCTAATTTGCTTTCCTGTAACACATGTGTGATTACAACAATTAAAGCTAAAAGCCTTTGCAGATCGAAGACAATTTAAAAAAATCTCTATTTCACAAGAAAACCCTGGATATTCATCAGTCTGCTTAACTGGATGAGCAGTAATAAACATGATGTGCCAACACGTCTTAACAAAGTGATTTTTGTAAACAAACTGCTTCCGAAAATATTTTATTAGCCGTCATTAACGTTCAGAGATGTTGTTTTAGGTTGGAAACCTTGGTGATCCATCTCGCAAAGAACGGCTGGAATGAAGAGACCTCTGGAATTGCTGGACGAGGAGAGCTAAAAGGAGTCTGTGAAGTCATGACCCCTGGAAGGTGTTGGTTTACAGAGTGTGAAGCAGGCAATTCACCAGCTGCACCCAGGAAGCAACTCTTTAAATGTCTATGGCTAAAAATCCTAGGAGAGTCATTCTGAGGGACGGATGGATACATCACTGCCACAGAGCTGCAGCCAGTTTGGCCTAACTTCCCGGACAGGGGAAATCTCCTGCATTTGGAATACAGCTTGGTACTGAGAAAGGAAATTATTCAAAAGAAAAGTGATAAATTACTCTCTGCTGGTTTTTTTTTGGGGGGTGGGTTTTTTTCTGAGGGCTCCAACTACAAGGACAAATTCACTAAGGACTCTGCGTAGAACCTGAGGTGTAAAACCTGAAGCAAGCGCTGGGCATTCAGGACCCGCTGCTGCATGTGCCCGGTCAGGTGTGGATGTGGAGGGCTGAGGAGGGCCAGAGGGCAGCTGCAGCCCAGTCAGAGGGAGAGGAGCCGGCTCTCTTGCTTCTTTAAGGGGCTCACGAAACACAGAATACATTGCACAAAAGCTTATTTCAGCTTAAAGGGCTATCTAAGAGATTGCTGAGCAAGAGCAACAATTGGGTGTCAAGAGTTCTAGGAATTTTTTCATGGTATTATCAACAATCTATTTTCTTATCAATGCCACTTAATATTTCCCGCTTCTGTGTAGCTATAAAATGGATAGACCCACTTCATTACCCTCGCTCCAGAAGAGACAATGGTGAAAAGATGTGCTGATACACATTTTTAGAAGGTCTTTGATTATCTTAGAAAGAAAGCAGGTTTTGGGGAAAAAAAAATTCCTTGAGAAACTATTTAGTCCTTAGAAAAATTAGAAAATATTCAGGAATATAGGGGAAGCTTCTTGGGGTCGGTGTGCATGTCAATATATTACATACATACCTTTTCTCTAGCTACAAAGAAAAGGGTGAAAATATTGAATTAAGGAATTTCAGTTCTCAATGTTTAGTAAAATGTAGATATTAAATAAATCATTTCCCTTAATTTGTAGAATTCTCTGTATCCTTCTAGTCCACTTTGAATGACACTCTCCAACATCTGTTCTGCACAAGAAGTGGCAAGACCTGCTCGAAGTTGAAACCCACGATACATTTTGTAGACAGTGGCAACCTGATCAAAACAGCAATAGAGCACAAACGCTTTTTTTTTCCTGATCAACAGGGCAAATTCAGCCTCTTGCTAAGGAGAATGATCTCCCCCCTCCCCAATCAGAGCCCAGAGTTTTCTTCTACCCCCAACTAATAAAATCAGGAGGCTGCAATGAGGCCTAGCGGCAAGCAGTTTGATGTCCTCAGCAGGATACGGGGAGTCAGAAGTGGCGCTGTAAATCCAGAGCGGGGCTTCAACACTGTGTTAAGTGTGGCCCGAGTCGTAGAGATTTCCCTTTGATGCAAGTTCAGTATATTAATGGGAAAAGCATTCACTTTTATTTGTCTGTACTGTCTGCGGCAGCAAGGCGGCCTCATTTAGCCTGGGCCAACATGAAAACACACAGAGAAGCAATCTGTTGCAAATTAGCACAGCTCCCCTTTCATTTACTAGCTAGTAATTGGAAGGGGTTAAGAAAGTGTAACTTATCAAATCACGTGAGTGTATCTGCTTGTGTGGACAGCAAGCCTCCCCCAGAGTCTCCCCTTGAACCCCCAGGCAAATATCCTTCCTCAAGGTCCTCTCCACCTGAAACACTGACACGTGGAAATGGGCGCACTTGGTTAGGTGTGAGAAGGCATTTCCTAGAGGCCTGGAGGGGGCACTTACGACTCTATCAGAAGCTTACCTTTCTTTAGATATGCTTTTACTCTCCCGTTTCCAAATCGTCTTGAAGTCACTGCAGAACTCGTACCACACCATAAACACGTAGTTGGGAGTGATCTCCTTCTCACCAGACTTTGGCTTCATCCCAAAATAGCCTACTGTTGCTTCAAAACTGCATAGGTAGGGGAAAAAAGTTGAACAGAAGTGAGACAACTGTTAACACCAAAACCCATCCAGGTGAGGAGAGAGGCACTGGGGGCAGTTTCTCACGTCTCTGACAATCCCAGCTTCAGAAGCCAGTGGTTTATCCTCAGCCTCAGGAAATCTATTTGCTCAAACCCAACTCAAGAAATTCAACTTGACTAGGGATACTTCTGGATACAGCTCATCTCTCTACAACCAGCATGTATAATTCCAGAGGCGGAAACAGGTGGAGGTGAGGTTGTTTGGATGTGTTCTTTATCTCAAATCTATAACTTGCTTTTCATTTTTATTTTTTAAAGATTTTTTTATTTATACAGGAGCTGGGGTACAGGCCAGATGCGTGGGAGGGTGAGAGGATTCACCAGAGACAGAGCGGGGAACAGAACAGGCAGACTGACCAAATACACTGCTGAGGGGAGCAGTGGGCGAGACAGGAGAGGTCTGCCGCGCCATGTGCAACCCTCGCCGGCCGGCCGGGATCGAAGCTGTGCTGCAGAAGCTGCGGACAGCTTCACAGCGCTGCGCTAAACCGCCTGCACCACCAGGGAGGTCTACTTGCTTTTCATTTTCTGTGTCATGGTCACAGGGAATGCTGATGACATGACTCTGCAGCATTGTCAGCAAGACAACCCACCAGGGATCTGTTGCATGGGATCTGTTGATCCCATCTGTTGAGTGTTTCATGGAAAATCAAGAGATTCTTCTATCCTTCTTCAGGCATCTACTGAGTTTGCAATCTTGGGTCAACCACCCCGCATGGACTCCCTATTTTCTCAAGGGTAAAATAAAAGATTTAGACTACATGATACAGGAATACAAATCACCAATGCACAAAAATAGATATAATTGAGGGCACAGAAAGGTTTGGATGAAACACCATCTCTGATCTTAAAATAGGCTCGCCAATTTGGTCGGAAAACAACCCAGGTTGTCCCAAGAAGATTCCCAGATATCACTGAGGACGCCTGACCTACCCCAAGGAGGTCCCCAAGTACACCAGGCTCCCAGGGCCTCCCAAGCAGCCCTTCTTGGAGGCACTAGCTTTGCAGCAATTTATAGCTCTGCATTCAATCTACCCCCACACCCCCTACCCACCTCAACTCTCACAAGCTCATTTGCCATGAGCAAGAACACATAAATAAATGGTCCCCTTTTCTAGGGTGTTGGAAACTAATCAAAGCAGGAATGGCTGGCCAGGTTTATTACACAATACTATCATCTGTTCAGACACAGTGAGTTTTTGTGACCATCCTGAATACTGAGTTCCTAATGGAACTCTATTCAATGGCGATTGTAAAACCCTGAAGTCCCATTACTATTACGGAGCACACTTTCATCTCGTTCTCAGTTATTGGGCAATATGTATCTCATAAGATTTTATCACATTTCACAGATGAACTGTTAATTGATTCCATGGCTATGATTAGGCGAGATCCAAGCTGGAGCTGCAGCTCTGAGTCCCATAAATTCTTTGTGCTTCTGTAAATAATAAATCTGTTTTTAATGCAAATTAAAACTACTGGTTAGGGAATTTTGGCTCCCAGTTATTAAAGACTGAAAGTGCATAAGTGGAGAAAGGCAATAACTGCAGTAATTTCTTAAGGGACTCTCTTATAATTCTAAACATACATATTTTGGAGCAAACCAGCAATGGGGGTGGCGGAGGAAGCAGTGTCTATTTTCTTTTCCTTTTTAAAAAATTGTATCATTTTTCATTGAGATACTGTTGCTTGACAACACTCTATATAATTTAGGGGTATAGGTTCACACCTTTTTAGATTTGTGCCACCACACCACTTCCACCCCACAAAGTAACCCACATTCCTCCACCATAGACCTCTGGGCTCCCTACCCCCTTTACTCTCCACTCTATTGTCCCCTTCTAGTAGCCTCAATTCTGCAATCAAGGGTGTATTTTGGTTTAGTTTTGTCTATTTCTTTGCTTTGTTTCCTTATATTCCACATATGAAGAAAATCATCTGGCATTTGTCTATTTTTGACTATTTTAACTTGACATAGTGCCTTACAGTCCCATCCATGTTGTTGCAAATGGCAAGGTTTTGTCTGTTTTTTAATAGCTGAGTAGTATTCCACTGAGTATTTTTACCACATTTTCTTTATCCAGCCATGTCCATTTCCTCCTCAGACATGACTCCTGGTTCTGTGGTAGTCAAAATGCCGATAAAACCAAATGTATACATCATGGTATATATATATTTATTTTATTCAAAATGAAAATTATATTGATTGTAGTGTGGTAATATAGAAGTAGAGAGATATGTAACTTATAAGTACAGACCATGAATTTCTTATAGCATTAAGGGGATTTAGAATTAGAAGGGATTTACAGATCAATTCATCCAGTGTTCTCATTTGACAGATGAGAAAACAGAGCCTGGAAAGCCTGAATGACCTTATTCTTTGGTGGAGCTGGGGCTACGACCTAGGTGCCTTGATTCTCAGTGAGATACTTTATAAAAAAATACATTTATTTATTTATGCATACAAGAGCTGGGGTGCAGGCCAGAGGTGTGGGGCGGGGGAATGAGAGGGTTCACCAGAGACAGAGTGGGCAGTAGAACAGGCAGGTCTGAAATGCACTGCTGAGGGGAGCAGCAGGCAAGACAGGGGATGTCTGCTGCGCCATGTGGGTAGCTCCCTGGCTGGCCAGAGATGGAACTCGTACTGTGGTGGCTGCGAATAGCTTCAAAGTGTTGCGACTTAACCCCTTGAGCCACCAGGGAGGCCCCTCAGTGAGATGCTTTTTTTGCTCTGCCCTTCTAATGCCCCTGCTCTCTAACAAGGCACTTAGGAAATAAAGTCGCTTTTTGTTTCTACTTTAGACACTGTCTCATGCCTCGCATCTATTATCTCCAGCAGAACACATTGTTTTTCTCTCTTCCTATAATCACCTTCTACACAGAAACATGTTCATTTGTGCATTAATGGAGACAGTCTTTTACATTAAGTATTTGAAAGAACAGATTGTATTTCTATTTTTTTGCAGGATAGAGTGAAGCGCACAGAAACACCAGTGGTTGTGCTTCAAGGATCACCCCAACACCTCCAGTGTTATCTGGAATGCAGACAGTGAGGCCAAGATATTGCAGTTTCGGAGAGTGAGTATTGTGTGGTGAGTTACCACAGAGCTTGTGTCTCCATCCTGCAGGCCTCACCGATCCCAACCCTAAATTGAAGCCAACTGTGTACCTCTATCCCCAGGCAATTTGTGAGACACCCCCCTTGTTAAGCCTCAAAGGGGGTGAAAAAGTAAAGGAAATGCTGAATTTCCTAATTTTTCCCCCTATGTGTTCTGGAACCTCAGAAAGCAGGTGAACCTCTTTGGAAGAGCCAAAACCTCCAGAGTCCGGGAGGAAGGCAGCTTTGTATTCGGCAGCCTTGACAAAGATGAAGTTGCTCTGAGGATGTGCCCTATTTTCATGTCCATGTCATCCCTTTGTTCAAGGAGAAACTAAAAGCTAAATGGTGAGCCTACAAATATCTGATACAGTCCAAGCTATTGTCCTCCCCAAGCAAAACTCTCTTCAAATTCAATTTCAATTCCTAGACGACTAATTTGTGAAAATTTTCTGAAATTTGGGCATGAAAAGTGCTGGTATTTAAAGACCAGGAGATGCTTATCCAATAGACAGAGGGACAATCACGCTTTTTTGAGATGTCTATTTGTCAGCAGATAACTAAAATCATTTTCAACTCTCAAAAGACTGATTTCTAATGTTTTGTCTCATGAAGCTTTTTTAAAATTTTACTCAAACCTAGTCCCTGCATCCCTTTCTTCTGCTATAATTCCTTGTCTGATTTGTATCTTTTTAATTCAACTAAACATTTTTAAAGGACCGACAATGATTCTATCAAAGAGCCTGTAGCAAAGTGAACTGTTTTACTTTTAGAGTGTTGAGATGCCAAAGCGGAACACATGCACTTATTGTTTTACATGCATGCCTTCAGAAACTGCTTAGGAAAAGCAAATATTCCTTAGCCTCAGAGTAAGTTGTTTCTCTTGAGAATAAAACATAAGAATTTACTAAATCTCACACAAATATTGCAACACTGACCACCAACCTCCTTAAAGAGTGTAACCAAACAACTGTGGTTTCTACATTAAAGATGGGATCGAACATATTTCATGTATGACATGAAAGCTAGACTACCTTCACCACAAAGTCACGGAAAATGCTGACAACTGAAATTTATGACCCCCCTCGGCATAGCTAATGCACAGCAGCAGCTTCGGCCTCTCTAAGGTGGGCCCCTTTCCTTGAGCAAGAATCTTGAAGTGGTATTTGAAATTTGTCAGCCACCCTGGAAACCGCATTTCTGTTGGCCCAACACCCACGTGTCCTTGTTGATGGGCTCTTTGCTACAATCTGAATATTCTACAACACAGACTCGCCGGTTTTACACCCTGAGGAAGAGTCACTTCATCTAGGGGTAAGGTCCAGAGAGGGACACAAACTCTAAAAATATAACCATTCAATTGCAAACATGATCACCTGAGGATGATCATAAGATTCAAGAACATGTCTGGGTTTAGGGAGATGCGAGATTTGCCCAAACCTCACTTCCATCTGCATTTTAATTTTATTGACAATTACAGCGCGAAACAGGAGAAGCTGTTGGTGCCTGTCAGGGCAGAACAGTGGCATCAGCTCCAGGCTTTCAGAACACTGGGACCTTGTGGGTATAAGCAAGGGAAATGGTTTGTTTCTAGAGTTTGTTCATCTTTCTTTAAATTTACAGCTAGGAGACTCCTCTTCTTACACATTTAGTCTACGGCTCATTGTTCCTTCTCTGCTGTTTCCTGCCCCTACCTCCTATTTTAATTTCTAGTACTCTAAGAAACAGTACCAGCCATATTCATCTCAGTTCCCTGCCCTGAACACGAGGCAAGCACCTCAGTATAGTCCCACTCACCCTTCTAAGGGGGTGGGTGGCCAAGCTGACTAACCTGGTCAACTGACATAAAGAAAAACCCTCTAGTGGATCACAGCCCATGACTGCTGGGCTCCACTGGGTCAGGTCGATGGTTCTACTCTGGTGTCTATTAAGAGAAAAGAGCAAAGATGGGGTCTGAAGAGGGTGAGTGGTTAAAGAGAAGGCCTCTGAGTTCTCTTCCAATTTCTGAAATAATTTGACACATGTAGAGGTCAGTCCCTTCCCCCCCCTTGCCCCTTGTTTATAATATCCTCTAGTTGCTGAGGAAGGTCTCTCAGATTATGATTGAAATAATTGGTTTAATCTAGTTGTAGTGTTAAGAAGGATCCTACGTCCCCAACTTCTGTGAGGTGGTTCTGGAGCAGAGTAATGGAGGAGAGCCAAACAGATGGGAAAAGTGTCAGGATGCACAGGAGGCACCTGAGTCACTTCTGGATGATTCTCACTTGTTGGGGGAAATATTCCCATGTCCTGTTACACTGCTTTCACTCTGGCTCCTGATAGAATCTCACTGCTCATGAGTGCAGAGTCTGAACAAATAGGGCCCAAAGAATGGCTGGTCAGATTTCATGCTAAGTGAAAGAAGCCAGTCATGAAGGGAAAAATACTGTATGATTCTGTGTCTATGAGGTTCCTACGTTATTCAAAGTCACAGAGCTAAAAGTAGAGTAGCAGTGGTAAGGGTCTGGGTGAAGGAGGACAGTTATGGGTTAACGGTTTAGAGTTTCATGTGGAGAAGATGAAAATTTCTGGAGATAGATGATGGTGATGATTACACATCAGTGTGAATGTCCTTAATTATAACAACATAAAAATATGGCAAGTCAATGGAAGAAGTGGGCCAGGTGAGAGCTGCTTACCTTTTCTGGGCATTCTCCAAGTGACTTTCTTCCATCTTATGCTCTTTTTGGGCTGTTAAAGAGACAGAATTTTAATTAAGACAGTATTTTCTTCCACCATCTCTGTTGCATAATCTACTCACACAGATTGCACTCATTTGTTATCAAAATAAGGCTAAATTAAGGGGTTGGCAGTCCCAATCTGGCATCTGGCCATAGCCCTCACATCACCCCCTCTACCAACACTTTCTTGACAAAAACTATGACTATGTAGTTCATTCTTCTCAGTGGGGCACTTTGAGATGGAAAGGAAGTGATACTAATTATACCTGGATAAGCCATAACCTGCAACAGTCCTGGCCAGACTGATAACCCATGGACTCCATGGCTATTGCTGGCCCCTTTGGAGCTGTGGCTTGTGCTCAGTACACTGCCCACCCCCCCAATACAATGAACCTGGTACTAGTTCTGCTCAGATTCAAATAAATTCATCAGAATCCCTGCACACACTGTCTCTATACCCTGTACCCCTCTGGAGGTCTGGGGAAGCCTCTGGTCTCCGTTCTTAGAATAATTTTAATTTTAAACGCATTGAAAAAAAAAATTTCAATTACTAAAGGAATCAATAGAAGTGACTTACAGATTAAGAACCTCTGTTTTCTAGGAACTATGTAATTAGGAGATTTCATTTTGGGGTGATTCTTCAACATATTCTGATTTTTAACTACTAGATAATATTTTGCATATCACTCTTACACTTTAAAGATGTCAAGAAAAACAGGCAGGCCGTAACAATCTATATGAACCTTAAGATTCCTTTTACTTAAGGCTACAATGATGATAATGAACTGGAGAAGAAAAATAGTCATATCTAGGGCCCATAGTGTAAAAATCCATTAAAGGTAGTAAAGAATTTTAACAAATAGCACGCCTTTAGTAAGCCAAACTCTTGCCACGCACCACCTGTGTGTGTGTTACTCAGGATCAACTGCATAGTTATTGCTTCATCTTTCCTTTGAGAATAGCCACTCTGACACTATCATGCAGTCGTTATAAAAATGAAATAAGATAATACATGTAAAAGTGCTTAGTACATAATACATGATCAATAAAACATGACTTATCATATGACATATCAGTATCTGAATATTATTAGTTTAATCAGTGATTTTAAAATGTAAATTTTATCCAGTTACTTCCCTGCTCAAAACTTTCCAATGGCTAGCCATCAGACTTGACATAACCCCCAAGTCTTCACAATGTCCCAGGAGGCCCTGCAAGTCTGCTCCCTACTTCTCTTTCCTACGCTCATTGCTCTCCAGCCTGTCTGGCCAGCTCGCTGGAGCTGGAGTACACTGAGCACAGCCACTGGGATCTCCACACTGGCTGATCCTCCTCCCTGGGACATTGTGCCCACATCTGCACAGTTAGCTCCCTCATTTTAATATTACTTTTTCTGATTTCACTACCTAAAAGATCATTCCTTGTCTTACATCCCTGTCCACCTCCCACACTTCTTTTTACTCCCTTGTCTTTTTTTTACCTACTTCATCTCTCTAGCCACAGACTATATACTTCCTCATTTGCTTATTATACCACAACTGAATCTAAATTCTAGGAGAACAGCAAGTTCATCTAGCTTTTGCTTTTCTATGCCTTCTTAAATATGGAAAAGTATCTAGATATTATTTTAGCTGAAAATGTATACACTGGATAAAGGTTGCTTAGAAAGAAAAATACTAGGTTTTCTAAACTGAAAAAATTATATTTAAAATACAACACAGGCCCAAACAGCATGTCATGGTAAAGTTGTATGCTATTGTCTCAAAGTCCAGTAACTGTCAACTAATAGGATGTTTTAATATTAAGATGATCTGGCGTGGATAACGACATATGTAAAAATCATAGTTATGGCCATCTTTTGTGGTATGACGTCCCTCACCCTACTCCTACTAGCGGGAATATCTGTGATTTTAGTCTGGTTCTTTGCCAATCAGATACAGAAGTGAACTATGTCTCTCATAGGCTGCCAAGTTCCCTAAAATGTGAAACAAACTAGTGGTTTGTTCATCTCCAGTGATCCTTAATTATGTGCATGGCCAAACAAGAGGAAAAATTCCTTTGAGGCCTGAGTGATCTTCCTGGAGCACCTTTGCAGATGTCCGTCACTATATGGCTTCTAACTGGCTACTTCCACACTGTGCTAAGTAGAGTGTGGTCAAGTCACCACTGCATATAAATTAAGTGACAATAAATACGCATCCTATTACTGAATTAACCATTAAATAAGATTTTGCAACAATTCGATGAATTTGGAAAAAAACAACATCCAAATACAGAAAGAGGTATTATTATGAGACAATACACACTTCAGACCCTCTGAAGGTGTGGGGGAAAACAACATTCAGGAAAATGAGAAGAATCTAGGGATCTCTATTTTTCCTAAGCAAAAGACCTACTATGTACAAGACAGAAAAGGCAGTCACCTCTACAGTGGGACCTGAAGATCTACCAACCCAAAGCATTTCTCCTGCCACAGTGAAATTTCCAACCATGTCATTGTACAGTTCGTCTTTAAAATACTCAAAACATAAATACATTATGCACTGAAAGGGAAGTGCTTAAAGGGTGGAGTCACAAACTCACCTTCTGATTTTATCAACAAAAAAGGTAACTGTAGGACAAGTAGATGAATCCTAGTGGTCTAAAACCCTATTTAGTTTCTGTCTTTCTTTTTTAATTATTTTTTTAATTTTACATCATTGTTCATTTTTAAACAATATTTGCTTCCCCTCACCCCCTCAGGTGTAGTCCCCATAGAGTTCCCTTCACCAGTGCACCTGTGCACCATCACCTCAGTCCCCTGTGCTCCTCCCTCCCTCCCTCTGATCCCTCTCCCTCCTCCTCCCCTGCAGGATGTCTCTGATTTATAAGTTTTTGTTTTGTTGTGTTTTCCCAAAGGCACAAAAACATTGATTCAAAAGAACACCTGTACCCTTATGTTGATTGCAGCACTATTTACAATAGGTAAAACCTGGAATCAACCCAAATACCCCAAAATAGATGACTGCATCAAGAAGATGTGGTTTATATACACAATAGAATATTATTCAGCAGTCAAAAAGATAAACTCATGCCATTCACAGCAACGTGGATGGAGGGAGCTAGAAGGAATTATGCTCAGTGAAATAAGTCAGAAGGAAAAACAAAAATATATTGGATGGTTTCACTTATAGCAGGAATATAGGGGACTCAAATTAGACATCAGTGCAAAAAAAATAGTTTCCTAATATAGAATCGACTCAGCCCCAGGGTAGGAAAGCCAATAGGGAGTGGAAGAGAAACAGGAAGGCCACACCCCAGCTAACAGAAGAATGCCTTGCCACTGTTACCAGATCTTCTGCTTTTTTGAGAGAAGTTAGGATTTTTAAATGAAAATTCCCAACTTATAAAAAGAAGCTCAAATACTCCAGAACAAAGATGACATTTCTTTTGGTCATATCTGTCTCTACAGCATCTAGTCTTTATGCCTTTAGTAGTTACTGACATACTATCAGAAGTGGGTTTATTCTTTCATTCCATTTGCCAGTTCATGTGCCGCACCCTACTCTAGGTACATGGGATCTGCCAGTGAAGAAAGCAGACAAAGGACCCTTAGAACTTTCAGCCTAGTTTGGGGAAGACAATTAAATCGTGGGTGTGGGCAGGCTTCTCAGAAGAGTAAGGCCAAAATGTTCGTCTGACACTCACACAGTGCCAGGGGATAGAGGGTACTAACAGACATCTCCACCTTGCTCTTCTTTCATTTCTTAGACAGGAGAATGTCTCATCATCTGTAATAAGTTAAACACAATTCTTTTCCAAATAGGGACCAGATAATGTAGTTGCTTAGAATGATGACAGTCTCACAGTTTACAGAAATAAAAATAAGTCACTGGTGTAGCTCCCAAAGGGCCCAGGGGAAGCTGCGTGGTAAGTGTGCTTGGTGACTTACAGATAACATACTATAACCTATTTTCTCATGCCTTTATATTTACACACCCTCCTTTACTCTGAATATCTTTCCTTTCTGTTTTTTCTCCCCTCCCTAACCCTTTCACTCCCCAAAATGCCTTTTCTTCAAAAACCAAGCTTCAAGGTTACCTCCTTTGAAGCTCTCCATGCCTCTCCTTCAGGGAGTGGGGAGCTGCTGCTTCTGGGGCGCTCTAATATCATCGTGTTTTCATTGCCACATCACATTTACTTATCAGAAGATCATCTCACAACAAAATTCTGAGTCCATAGTATGACGGCCGAGCAAATGAAGCAGAGATGGCCTTTCTATGCACACTGGCTGGGATCATTTCCTTATGGTCTGCTTTTCCTACTAGCTCTGCTTTTTTTTTTTTTTTTTTTTAAATAATTTATTCCTCACTGCATTCAACTTTTACTTGATACATTTTTAAATACACAAGAAGTGCATAACATTGTCAGGATCACTGGGAATACAGTGGTGAGCAATGCAAATGTTTTATGGTTTATTTAATTAGACTTCTCCTGTTCGACGTTTAGATTTTTCTGAATATTTTGCTATCTGTAATTAATACACAAGTAGCTAAATCAACATCTATGACTTTTTCCTGGGGAAGTGGATCTGTAGACTCTGCTTTTTGAAGGCAGGCATCAAGATTTATTAAACAGTGTTTCTCTCAACCAACACCTACTAGGGACTCCACCTGTTTGAGAGATGGATAAGCCAAAACAAGAGGGACCAACACTAGCAGAACTTAGAGCAGGCTCTTTATCATCCCACTGGGGAACCACAGCCCATTTCTTGGAAAGCAATTTCTAATCTTCATTTTCTTAGACAACAAAACCAGAAAAGAGTCCAGCAGACTCTTAGGGTAAAAGGGTATAATATGTCATCCTGTTATATCCTGTTTTAGATTGACATACTAGACTGATATCTCATAGGCACAAATAAGACCAGCCCTGAGTTTCATCTGTATCAGGCTATTTAAAAAATACAGTAATTATGGAAAGTGTAAAGTTTTTATAAATAAAATTATACTTCCAGAAAATATGAAGCATAAG